TTCCACAGTCGGTCATACGTCGGAAGTAGTTATGAATCAAGACTGTCATGAATTGGGATTGTAGATGGCTAAAGGTGTTTAGACATGGAAATGGTTGCTACAAGATTTATGAGTGCTCATAAGTTATGAGTATTGGAATAAACCCACACTCACTTGCATCACTTCATGGAATTTATCTCGAGTGATCATGAGACGGTAATATCATATAAGTCTTCAAACCTAGAGATATGAGTTGTTGCCTATGAGTTGGTTGTTAATTGATTGCACGAAAATGCATCAGTAACTTGATGTTATAAAACGTGCCTTTGTGTATAATTCAACAAGTAGTAGAACAAGCATATGAGTCGAAGTTTATTTGTTCCTTTTAGAAATAGAAGCGATATCTGGGCCCCTCGATGATTTTGTTTTGACCGATTAATCGGGCCCGGTCAGAACTAAATCGATGTGTTCGATTAAGTTCTTTGTCAAACAAATTGAAAATCGGAAACAAACCGCTAGATAATAAGTAAGACATTGTTCCATGTATTTATCCGGTTGATATCATGAGAGCAGAGGATTATATGATCACTTATCTAAAAAGGCGCTTCATAATTCAACAGAGTTTTCGAGAGCTACGATTGCTGGTTGGTTCCTGAAGGAATATAAACAAATATAGTTATCAGACTTATCCAAGTGGGATCTGTTGGATAAGGTGTCTAAGTCCATAACTTATTTGGTATATACTTGACCCGACCCGGCATGGTCCATTTGGGTTGCACTTCACCCGAACTATTTATATGGATAATATTTATGAAAATAGTATGTTTATGATTTATTAATATATTATAAGTTATAATATATTAATATGAAATCATATTATTTAATTAGTATTGATCTTAAATTAATTATGAATTAATTTAGTGATAAAAAAGGTGACTAATTAAACATGGGCTATTATATTATATAGTGTGGGCTAACACTCATTATGGAAGTGGGCTAAGCTTAAATGGGAGTCCATGGAGCTTTTAACCCATGGATCCTTGGAAGAGGAAAAGACATGGGTTATTCGGGTTTACCCTAATCATCTACACTATATAAAGAGGCTCATGATGCTTGGAATCGGACTAGGTGTGTGTGCATAAGAATAGCCGATTCCTAGAAGCAAATACATACTATCTCATAAAGTTTTCCAAGTTTGTGGTGTTTTGTGATTTCCATTTGAGGCATTCACATTATTTGTGATTGGCTCTCAAACTCCAAAGGAATAAACTCACAATCAATGGTATGTAATTCTTCTTGTTCTTTTATGTTTATAAGTACCCCATGCCATGCTAGATAGGTTATGAACCTTGGAAAAATTATTTTGCATCTATTATAGTCAAACATAGATCCACGGTTTCTAGGGTTGCATGAACACCTTAGGAGTGTTAGTTTGCTCTAAACCCAACAACATGGGGTAACCTTATCCGTTATCTCTGATAGAGATAGTAAGTTTACCTCTCGTTTCTGGCGGAGCTTGCAGAAATCTATTGGTACGCACAGGATATGAGTACAGCTTATCATCCGCAAACCGATGGTCAAAGCGAAAGGACCATTAAAACACTGTAAGACATGCTCATAGCACGTGTTATAGATTTTCAGAATGATTGGGATACTGACCTACCCCTGGTTAAGTTTTCATACAACAATAGCTATCACTAGCATCAAAGCAACACCGTTCGAAGCAATATATTGTCGGAAATGTCATTCTCCCATTTGTTGGACAGAAGTTGGCGACACCCAACTAGCCAAGAATTTCATAGGGGATACCTTACGGACAGGCCCATAAATAATCCATGAGACGACAGAAAAGATAGTGCAAATAAGGGAATGCATGAAGGCAACACGTGATCAACAAAAGAGCTACGTAGGACCATTCGAGATCCTTGAAAGTATAGGTCCAATTGCAAATAAGGGAATGCATAAAACCCCAGAATTCCAAGTGGGAGATAGGGTGATGCTTAAAGTATCTACTTGGAAAGAAGTTATAAGGTTCAGAAGTCGAGGTAAACTAAATTGATGATACATAGGACCATTCGAGATCCTTGAAAGTATAGGTGCAATTGCATATTGACTTAGATTACCACTAGATCTTAATAATGTGCATGATGTCTTTCATGTGTCAAATATTAAGAAATGTCTTTCTAATGATATGCTCATCATTGAACTTGATGAAATTCAGGTTAACCCTGAGATGAACTTCATCAAAGAGCCTATCGAAATAATGGATAGAGAGGTCAAATGACTCAAGCAGAGTCAGATTCCCATAGTTAATGTATGATGGAACTCCAAGCGAAGACCAGAGTACACGTGGGAATGAGAAGACCAAATGAAGAACAAGTACCCTCACTTGTTCTAGAAGAGATCCATCGACAAGGTCAAATTTCCAGGATGAAATTTCCTAAACAGGGGGAGACTGTGAGAACCCTGAGAAATTCTGTCAATAGTCACCGTCAGAAAATAATAGGAAAATAAATGTAATAGAAAGCATTGTAATATTCGATTTTTAAGATAATAAGACTCAGATATTCTATTACATTTATTTGTTAAAAATCATCCATTAGGCTCTAAAAATTAGAGATCAAAAAGTTGTGATGTTTTTCAATTCAGTTAACATACTTGGATAATACTTGTTAACGTGATCTCAAAGATATAAGATTCGTAAAAATCTGACTCCGAAGGAGAGAGTTATGGATTCTATAAAAATAGAAATTAACCACATAGTTAAAATTAATTATGTCAAAAAGGTACTTAAAGATTGGTTGAGTTTTGATTAAAATTGCAAAAATGAAATTTTGTAGTACACCTCGAGATATAAAGTTTAGGAACAAGTTTGTTGAAAACGGGATCCATATGAGTAAGTTATGATTTTTATAAAATCAGTAATTCTTACCCTGATGAGCTCGAAAATGAAAGTCAAATCCGGCCAAAATAACCAAAAGGAAAGTTTTATTGCCCGTTGAGATTGTCACATAGATATAGAGATGGACAAGGTTGGAGCACACACGAGGAAGTTATGATTTTAAAAAAATCATTACTTTCTCGTCAAGTGTGCGCCTCCACGCATCACACATTTATCAACGGATTCGGACATATTTCGAGTGACGTAGATGAATAGGGAGGTGACACAAACAACATCCTGTGGAGCTATGGTGTTTAAGTACATGTCGCGCATAGGAAATATACAATGCACACCCCCAAAACTTGACTATAAATTGAAGGCTGTGTCATTCAGTTCCAACACACCTTCATTCACTTCTCTCTATCTCTTTGGTACATATGCTACCTCGTGGAGCAATCCCCGGAGCTCCGAGCTCATTTCTACCCTACATCAACGGTTTTAAACCCTAGAGTGATTTCACGGCCCCTAATTTACTATTTTAAATGTTTTCAAGCGGGAATATATGCTTATCAAATGGTTTTATAAAACATTTATTTTGTAAATGCCAAATCATTTTATAATAAGTTAGATGCCATAGGATAATATAATTGTAGATACATTGCTTTGTTTTAAGCTACAATGTTATGTCTAGAGGTTATAATGGCCAATAATCTAGGAGTAGGTGTTACCTAGATATTATAATGACCAAATCCTTAGGAAACCTTAGTACTTATGAGTTATGCTAGACAAGATTTAGGATATGCACAACACTTAGTTGTTACTCTGCCCAAATATCCTGTTAGAATAACCAAAATTAGGATATATATATATATATATATATATATATATATATATTATATATATATATATATTATATATATATATATATATATATATATATATGCATGTATAGAAAAATCATTTTATGATACATACCCTGAAGAAGCATATATAAAGATAGTGCGATATATATATATATATATATATATTATATATATATATATATATATATATATATATATAGGGTTAAGATTAAATGTGAATTGCAATTATAGTGTGAATGTATGACCAAATTGTATCCATCAGATTAAAAGAATGGAGGGTTAAGATCAACAATGGCATGATTCTAATTAAAAGGGAAAAAAATTAATTATTTT